ATTGGGTTACAATGTGTCTCTCTAGAATATTTGACACCTTAGGAGGAGTCAGCACAGTCACAGCCCCCTCCATCTTTGCATGCCATAGCCCTCTCCTCTTCTGTGGGTGTCTAATTACTGTCTGTGCTGGCCCAGCTTTTCTGCCCCTCCCTTCACCTCTCAGTCGCAAGAGAAGTGAAGGGGAATACAAAGTGTTTCTCAACCGCTCCCTCTTGCTGGGCTGCAGCTTGACATCTAATGCTACCACAGTTTTTAAATATCCGGCACTTACTGTTTATTTATCCACTGGTAGGTAGGCAGCGCTGCACCTCCTTCCTGCCAGGCTGCGACTTGACATCTAATGTTATTACAATAGCCAGCGCTTATTGTTTGATTACCCGCCAAGTAGTCTTGCAGGCTGCTACTGATCAGGGTGCAGTGGCTTGAAAACAGCTGCAGCACCATGTGAGTGAAACACCTCCCCAATTTGGAAATGGGTAAATCAATGTGCTGGTTTGAAGCAGGTGCTGCTTAGGGGTGAAACACTGGAAGAAGGGTGTTCTGCTGAGCATTGCAAGTTGCCGAGTTGATAACATCATGGTGCTGGTGTGAGGATTACTGGAAAAAGGTATAAAATAATGAAGGGGTGAAAGCCTATTTGTGAGCACTTAATTTAAAATTCAATTTACTGGTAGTTAGTGAGGGCGGGAAGATTTATTCTTTCCAGGCCTGCTCTGCCCCCCACTCACTGCCATGCTGCATCAACTACAGCTCCTGATGTGGCAGTACTACTCTCATGTGAGGGCGAATGAAGACTCTGATGTGAAGGGGAGACTGAGGACTCTGATGTGAAGGGGGGACTGAGGACTTTGATGTGAAAGGGGAGCTCCTAAGGGGAAGGGGGGCTTCTTATGTATTAAGGGGCTTGGGATGTGACAGGGGGACTCTGATGTGAAATTACGGGCTCTGAAGTATTAAAAGGCTTGGGATGTGATGGTGGGACTGATGTGAAATGAGGGGTTCAGATGTGAAGGGGGCTTCTGATATATTAAGGGGCTTGGGATGGGGAGACCCTGATGTGAAAGGAGGAGTTCTGATGTGAAGGGGGGCTTCTGATGTATTAAGGGTAGCTCCTGATGTTAAGAGAGACTCTAATTTAAAAGGGGGATTCTGATGTGGAAGGGGGGCTCCTAATTTGAAGAGGGAACCCCACATTTTTTGTGTTTTCTGTGGGGTCCCTACTTAGAAACCAAATCAGATCCCTATCTGGGAAAAGATCACACACATTTCTACATTTTAGTTTGGGGAGCCTCAAGATTTTGCATACTTTTAAGGGGTGCCGTGGCTGGAAAATGGTTGAGAAACACTGATCTAGAGGGTCTCTTTAAATGTTTAAAAAATGGGAGCAAGAGAAATCCAGAGGATGGCTCTAGAGAATAGATATCTTGGAGTCATGCATTGGATTAGGTTATTGGAGCGACCCTTTAAATAAAACTAATAATGTCATAGAGGTTTGTGATGCTGATACTTAGTTTTGAAAGGCAGAGGAGCTGTGGGCACGATCTTCCAGAGGACCAACCAAGACTTGTCTTTCCTTTACATCTGTAGGACAGCAGGTTGCCCAGCCATAGCGTCTTCATAAACCCATAGGAACAGAGCTCAGTGTACCAGACTCAGCTTTTCCGCAGTAAGATTTGTGCAGCCTCAGACAATGTTGGGTACAGTACAGGCGTTCCTGACATTTCAGCACAGGACACAGCTGCGGGGATGCCCTGCTATATACTGAGTCACCGTGTCCATTCTTTAACTGTGTAAATGTCCTTCACATCAGCTCCTCCAGCTGCTCACCTGCAGGCACACTTATGTGATTGCGGAGAATCTCTCCAGGGATTCACAGCTCGGATTCCTGGAGTAAGTGCTTGTCATTAGTGGCAATCCCATTGTAATTGACATTTTTGCCACCACACTTCCACTTTTCTGAGCTCCAGCTCCCTTCGAAGTCACACAAATGAACAATAAGCTTTTGTTTTATCATTTTTTTATTGAAAATATTAGGTAACATTACAGCAGTAACATTTCTTCTGATATTGGTCCTAGTTTGAGCATGTTATATTTATTTTACCACATCGTGATGTTGTTTATTACTTGTTAAAATAAAAAGTTTTATATATCTGTCTCTATTCATTTTTCACCATCATGATTTCATCAAGAATCTATATGCGGATAATGAATTATACAATGTAGTTTTATGAATTTTTTATATTGAAATAAACAGAAACAAGATTTTTTTATTTCATACCTAGC